TTTATATTGATTATTTCGATTAAAGAATGCTCGCCTTGTATTCGATGTACAACAATTCACTGACGAGCGAACTATTTTGCGCTTAAAACTTGATTTTTATGAGGATTTTCACACTCCACTGCCCCCATTATTTTGCTGATTGTTTGTATACTTTTGTCCAAAATCTCGAATAATTTCTGCAGACAATGCTTATCTTTTACTTGCTGAAAAATGCAAATAGAACTTCGTTCTTTTGTTTAAAAAATTAGCTTCGTCCAGACGTAAACAAGTAGGAACTTGGGACTTTCACTCTGTTTAAAAGCGACTTGATTCTAAAGATGACAGGAGTTTAATAAAAATCCCCAAAAAGTCTTTAGAGTCAAGACGCTTGACTTATATACTGGGGTTAGCCAGTTAAGTGAATATCGCTTTCAAAATAAAACTTTTTCAACTGCATTCTCACCTTTGAAACATCGCCTCAGCCACAACAAAGGAAGTAGCAACTTGAAGTTTTTACCCTCTTTACGAGACGCTTGGTTCTTAAAATTACGAAGAAAATTTTGCAAAAATCACCCTGAATGATCTTTTCGGTTCCGTAAAACACCGCTCGAAATGAAACATAGTACCCAACTGCATTTTCACCTTGAAAAATTTGCCGCGTCCGCACAAAACCAAGTATCAACTTGAAATTTTCACGTTAATTAGAAGATAGTTGATTCTAAAGACGCCAAGAGTTTCACAAAAACTGCCTTAAATCCTCAGGTCTGGCAGTTAAGTGAATATCGCCCTCAAAACCAAACTTATCTCCAACTGCGCGCTCTCCTTAAAAAATTCGCGTCATCCAAACCAAAGCAAGTAGCAACTTGAAATTTTCACGTTTTTTACAAGACACTCGGTTCTAGATATGCTGAAAGCTTCACAAGAATAGCCCTAAATCGTGAGCTTTGTCAGTTCAGTAACTATTGATTTCAAAATGAAACTTTTAGCCCAACTGTATTATCACTTTTAAAAATTTGCCGCGTCCACACAAAACCAAGTATCAACTTGAAGTTTTCACTTTAATTAGAAGACCGTTGAATCTAAAGACGCCAAGAGTTTCACAGAAACTGCCTTAAATCATCAGGACTGGCAGTTAAGTGAATATCGCTCTCAAAACAAAACTGTTCTCCAACTGCACGCTCTCCTTTAAAAATTCGCGTCGTCCAAACCAAAGCAAGTAGCAACTTGAAATTTTTGCGTTCTTTACAAGACACTCGGTTCTAAATATGGCTAAAGCTTCACAACAATAGTCCTAAATCGTGAACTTTTTCAGTTCAGTAAATATTGATTTCAAAATGAAACTTTTTGCCCAACTGCATTCTCACCTTTCAAACTTTGCCGCGTCCACCCCAAAACAAGTAGCAACTTGAAGTATTTGCCCTCTTTACAAGACGCTTGGTTCTAAAGATCACGAAGAAAGTTTTGCAAAAATCGTCCTGAATACTGATCTTTTCGGTTCGGTAAAACACCGCTCGAAATGAAACATCGTACCCAA